GCTCTTCCTGAATGGAATGAAAAGTAAAGAAGCCAGCGGCTGGGCTGGTGTGCAGACAAGACAGGTAGTCAGTGAAAATGTAGATTGAGGAGTCAGTGGGTGAGAGACAGGTTGGAGGGTGGGGAAGAGAGAGAGAAAGGGGATGAAAGTGGAGAGGTACCTGGGGAGTCAGATGTTTAAGGTATAATGTGTCATAAATCCAATGTCTATATTTAGTTCATGATTTTTAGTATCCAGGAGGTTGATGAAATGGAGTTCATAGTCTCATCCCTGAAACTTCCTTAGCCTGATGAAGGGTTTTTGAACCCGAAAGCTTGCTTAATAATTATTTTCCAACTACTTGGGTTGGTCTAATAAAAGATATCAGATTCACCCAAGGAACCTTGTCTGCCGATGTCCTTAGACCAACACGGCTACAACCTACAAGCAAATAGAAGCACCTCAAAATCCCATGGTGGGTCAAGCACCCTCAAGATCTGCAGGGTCTGTGTACCCTGAGCAGCACAGAGCCCTAACAAATGACCCAGGCCCAGGTGATGGTGGCAATTGCCCCAGGCTTGCAGGTGTGCTTCAGGAAGGGGGTCGGCCAGATGTGGGTGCCCCAGGGGAGACACCCAAAGTGGGGTTATGGTTGGGCACAGTGAGGTGGGTGGCTCAGCACAGTAGTGCCCCTTACTGTCCTGCCACACAGTCCATCACAGATTTGATCCTCAGATTTTGTTTCCGGACGAGTTAGGGCTGCCAGACATTCTGATGCCCTCCTCCTTCGTGTTAGCTTGAATTTAAAGCTGGTTTATATCCCCATCCAGTTCTATGGAAAAACACCCATTGATTTCAAAGGGGAAGGATCAAGGTCTAATTCATTTGAAGCAAAGTCTGGGATTGAGGCCAATGCATGAATTTTTAATCCCTTCCATTAATTCATAGGCTGGATGGGACCATTACTGATCTGACCTCCCATCAACAGCCCTGAAAAGCTGAGGAACTGGCTGTAAAGTACGTGACTCCCCATGGAGTTCCTCCAGCCCCCTGCTGTAGTTTAACTCAACACCAGGAGCTTAATTGTTTCCATGAATGGGCAGGGGCAATCCAAAGCAAGCAGGTGAATAAAGCAACTGCTGTATTACTCAGGGGAGTGATAAAAGCAGCCTGGTGGCTGCTTTAGGAGGAAGAAATGGTGCCCTTCACTCCAGGACAATTAGAAATATTAACGCTGTATTCTACAGTTATCTTGTCTGACCTCCTGCTTTGCTCAGGCCAGGGAACTGCACCCAGGCATCCCTGCACTGAATCCTGTCTGCCATGTGGACAGACATAAGGATCCCGGACTCCCAAGAAAGCCATTCTCACGGCCACTACCCTCCCTATTAAAAACCTGCATGTTGTGCCCAGCTGCAGTCTTGCAGCCTGTGTCAGCTGCAGCTCCTACTGCATCTGTAGGAGCATTGCCAGGAGACTGAGGGATGTAATTATTCTCCTCCATTCAGCACTGGTGAAGCCACATCCAGAGTACTGTGTTCAGTTTTGGACACCTCCCCCCCACAACAAAAAGGATATGTGGAAATTGGAGGGAGTCCAGAGGAGGGCAACAAAAATTGTTAGGAGCCTGGGGCAAATGACTTCTGAGGAGAGGCTGAGGGGGATTTATATAGTCTGAAGAAGAGAAGACCTGAGGCAGGATTTAATAGCAGCCTTCAACTACCTGAAGAGGGGCTCCAAAGAGGATGGAGCTGGACTGTTCTCAGTGGTGGCAGATGACAGAACAAGGAGCAATGGTCTCAAGTTGCAGCAAGGGAAGCTTAGGTTGAATATTAGGAAAAACTGTCTCACTAGGAGGGTGCTGAAGCACTGGAACAGGGTACCTATAGAGGTGGTAGACTCTATCCTTGGAGGTTTTTAAGACCTGTCTAGACAAAGCCTTGGCTGGGATGATCTAGCTGAGGATGGTCCTGCTTTGAGCAGGGGGTTGGACTAGATGTGGCCTCCTGAGGTCCCTTCCAACCCTCATTTTCTATTATTCTAATTTCAGTGCACAGTATTGAAGAAATGCTCATGCTGGGAATGTTTTAGCAGTCTTGGACTGATTTATTTGGTGGAATCAGTGGCACGTTGTGGTGCTAGGGAGGAAATGGGGCTTTGGCTAATGCACAGTTAATTCATAGGCAAGTGAAAGGGGAGGACCCAGAGCTCACCTGCTCTCTCAGGGTTTCCTGCCTTTCAATTGACTTGAGGGGCTGCAGTTAATGGTGACTCAGGACAGAGCTGCAGACCCTGGCCTGGCTGCAGGTGGCTCTAGTTATTGTGAACCTCCACCTCTGCACTATCACGGCAAGGCCTGTGCATTAATCTTGCAAAGAAGCACCTGGGTTATTCTCGCAATGAAGGCAGCAGCCCACCCCTCTCCATTGATGGCAGTAGAAATCCACCAACGATGCATTCAGCCCATAGACTCCTGGCTACCTTGCCAAATCCAGCCATTTCGACACGGAGCACCCCGGCATGATGCTGAGAAGTCATCCTTTCTCTTCTCACTGAGATCCCTGCAGAAGCAACCCCAGATAGAAAAGCAAGCCTTGCTTTCTAGGTAGGTTGGCATTAGAGCAGAGTTTTTTTTAAGTTACTGCAGTTGTAGTCCTAATTATATTTGGAACAATGGTTCCCTCTGGTGGTCAAACTAATACCTGATTTTCCATTGTCTCTAATAGGGCTGTGCAAAATTTCTCCCGGTGTTTCGTTTCGAGGCTGTTTCGATGCGTTTTGAGCTCGAACTGGCAAGATTTAAATGAAATAAAAGCCTTTGAAACAGCTTTGAAACAAAACAAAGGCACTTGAAATGTTTCGAGTTTCAAAACCAGGCTTACTGGCTTCAGTGCAGTCCCAGCCAGCAGCACCCAGCTCCTGTCATCTGGCAGGCAGATTGGGGGCTTGCCCGCACCCCCGAGAGGGCTGCGGGGACTGTGCCAGAGTCCTCCTGGGGGTGCAGGCCCCCAATCTGCCTGCCAGGTGACAGACCAGTGCCGGATGCAGACTGCACTCAGCGCTGGTGTTGCTGCTGGCCCCTGGCAGCAGCACCTGGCTCCTGTCACCCAGCAGGCAGATCGGGGGCATGCACCACCAAGAGGACTCTGGCATAGCCCCCGCAGCCCTCCTGGTGGTGCCAGCGGGCCCCTGATCTGCCTGCCAGCTGACGGGAGCTGGGTGCTGCTGCCTGGGGCCAGCAGCAGCCAGGGCCGTCCCTGGGGGGGGGCACAAATCAGGGTGATCACCCCAGGCCCTGTGCTTTGGGGGGGCCCTGAGGAGCCAGGCAGAGTGGTCATGGTGACTCTGTGCTGTTGCCGCTGCCCCCACTGCCACCAGTACCAGTTTCTTTGCATCCAGGGCACGCAGGATTGGGGCGGGGGTAGGTCCCCACATGAACTGATTTGCCCTGGGCCCCTCACCCTCGACCCAAAGAGGGTGGTGGGGCCGCAAACAAATCAGTTCATGTGGGGACAGCAAAATATTTTTGACGAAATTAAGTGGAACAGCGCTTTCGAAATTAAACGAAACTTGAAATGAAACACTGTTCCATCAAATCGTCAAAGCGGAAGTCGAATCGGAGCGGTGCTGTTTCGCACAACCCTGGTCTCTAATGGAAGGTGTTGTCTCTGAACCAAGAGTTTTAGAGTTTTGCATTTCTTTTCCTCCACCTGGAAGCAGTCAAGTGGCTGAATGATAGAGTCTCAGAAACAAAGGGCAGGAAGGGACCTCAATAAGTGATCTAGTCTAACCCTAGTGTCTTGGTTCAGCTGAAAAGGACCCTGATCTGATTGATGCTGGGGCTTTCTGGCAATGGAGGCAGGACAACATCTGTAACGGTTATTTGTGATTTTTTTGTATGTGTGTTTAGCACAGCAATTCTCAACCTTAAGGTGCCTCCAGACCCTTTGAAGGCTCAGGTTTGTCCCTGTCTGGATGACTCCCCATCTCCACTGACCAATCCCCCTGTAAGGAAGTAAGCACTGTAATATATACGTTATTTTTTTTAATTGGATGTCACACAATTCACAAAAGTTATGAAGGGGTGCCTCAAGTCCAAGGCGGTTGAGAACCATGGGTTTAGCAGGACAGAAGTTAAGAGGGTGGAGAAACTGTCACCCCAGTTATTAAAATTATGTGGAAATATTTAAATAAAAGAGAACAGACAGGCTGGAAATAAAATTCACTGTTCAAACGTTTGCCTCTGGGTCTCCATTTCAGGAAGCCGTACCAGAGCCTATAGCTTGATTTTGTTCAGAAATAGCAGCTACATAGATTTCCTACTGAAGTCAACAGGAGCTAGGGATGCTCAGCCATTCTGAAAACCCCACACACTCATCTCTATGCAGTTTTTCTATCTGTTGTGGCAAAAGGTGCGATTTTTCTACCAAAATCACTGCACGGATATGGCTGTCCATATGAATGCAAATCACAGTGCCACTGAAGTGTCTCACAGCAGTGCTCAGTACTTACTGAAAAATCAGGTACACCCCAAATCAATAGCCACTTAACGAACATCATTGCAAACACAAACATTTCGCCAACTCCTCAGATAAATCCCATGGAACAAATCTGATTTTCTTTTTCTCTTTCAGATCCTGTTGCTTATCATGTCTCTGTTTCTTGGCTTGAACAGAAAATCCTATTCATAATCTGTTTCATGTCTTTGCAGGCCATATATTGCAGAACTCAAAGGGGTTACCCACCCTGCAGGTGAAAGGTAACTGGAAAAAGAGTGTGTTGGCATTTTGAAGTTTTGAAATATTTTTAGTGAGGCCTGAAACTTTCTGATTGTGAGGCAAAATTCAAATTGCAGGTTAGATTCCAATATAAAAACATATGTTAGTTTGAAAAGGAAAATGAAGGGTGTTATTGCCTTGAAGAGCTGACAGTAGTAAAATCTCCAGTTTCCCCTTCCAGAAGAAATGTAGATAGATGCATTATAGACTGATAACAGACACCACAAATGCAAAGCAATGTGAAATAAAACCAGATACATTTCCCCCACTAGGTGGTTCTAAAATACAAGTCTTTCTTGACTGTAGTAGTCACGATGTGAGATTTAATCGCATTTATTGGTGAAGAATACTTGCTTCTGAGCATGCAGATCCCAGGAGGAATTTTCAAGGCTAATTACATGCTCAGACACTGGGATGCTGTTTACACAATGTTTAATAATTGGTATACAACACTCTACCTTGAATGAAGGCACACTAATAAAACAGGGCTGGAAGATGGAAAAACCTGGCTTCTGACTAATGAAACAGGTAGTCAGGTATTAATCACAGCTGTAAAACAGCTTTGATTAATTCTACCAACTAAGTTATGGTGGAATTATTTCTCTTATAGGTGAAAATAATGATCTAGAGCCTTCAAATCGATTTGAACTTTCTCCTTTAACAGGAAAGAATCAAAACTAAGCTAACACTCTGCTTAATTTAAGTCTGAATGTGGTGAGATGGAGGGAACAGTGGGCAGGGTGGTTTACTAAGTGGTTTCAGCATCAGGCTTTTGACATACCTGGCCCCCACACTGCTGTAGGATTAAACTCCATCCTTCTCAGTTTGAAAAATCCAGATCCAGCTAGTTTTGCTCTGTTTAGGCTATTTCAGATCAGGCCATCAAAACCAAGGTGCAGTGTGCTCTATGTTGACCTTGACAGTCCCAGAGGTTTTTGTGCACGCTCTGCCCTGATATTCTTAGATCAATATTCCCCTTTTTTTTTGTGCAGGGTCTTACCTGCAACTCTGCAGCTACTCTTGCCCTGAGAGCGTGCTGTATCAGTGGTCCTTCTGAAGGAAAAACACTCTGGGAGCCTGAAACTGTTCAGAAATGATCAGCATCAGGACCTGTTTTGCCAGACTGCAAGTCCTACTAAGAAGGAAGGGTGATACTATAATGAAGCCACAAGATCCCAGGAGATCTGGGTTGGAGTTCAACTCTACCAGCCTCACCGGGTGCCTTTCAACAGGTCACCAACTCCCTCTGCCTTAGCTTCCTCACAAGATGAGCAGAACAGATAGCAGATAAGCACTTTGGAGATTAAATTGATAACTGCTTATTAAGAATGTGGAAACTCCTTCAGTCTAAGGTGCCATGTATTTAGATTCATAGATGTTAGGGGCTGGAAGGGATCTCTTGAGATAATCAGGTCCAGACCTGCTGCGCTTGAGCAGGAAAGACTGCTGGAGTCAGATGACCCCAGCAAGGTGAGCATTAGGGCTGTGTGAAACGGAAGCATTTCATTTTGACTACTGTTTTGATGTTTCGACCGAACTGTGTTTCGTTTTGACTTTTGTTTTGAGTCGAAACATTTCCCCGTTTCAACCCTGTTTTGACCTTGCACCCATAGGATTTAAGGGGGAAGGTTGAAACAGGCTATAACTTTATTTCTGACCAGATTTGGATGAAACATGCAGGAATAGTAGCCCCTTCTGAGAGCATGATGCATGCCAAGTTTCAAGAAGATAGATGCAGGGGATTTGGAGAAACTGCACCCCAAAATCTTGAGAGCAAAACTCATGTCACATGTATGTGTTAAGCCACAGCGGGGTCAAAACTGCAGGGATGGTAGCCCCTGCTGAGGCCACAAAGCATGCCAAGTTTCAAGGAGATAGGTGCAGGGGGGTTGGGAAAACTGCACCTCAAGCTGCTGACAGGCAAAACTCATGGCATAGATGACACTGTGTGTTAAGGCACAGTAGGGTGAAAGCTGCAGGGGTAGTGGACCCTGCTGAGGCCACAAGCCTGCCAAATTTCAAGGAGATCGGTGCAGAGGTTTGGGGGAAACTGCACCGCAACCTACAGACAAGCAAAACTCGTGACATGGGTGCTTGTGCAACTGTCTGTTGTGAGGGGGACGGACAGACTACTACACGCCTGGCTGCTAAGCTACTGAGTTACCAGTTACCAATTAATCATGATTCACTCAGGGACCAGCTCAATACACAGGACCTAGCTACTACGTAATGACTTAACAAGCACGGATTAACACCTACAAAACCAGGACTAAGGAGAGGAAAGAATCGATACAGACAATCAACTGCCCCAAGACAGACACAGTCAGTCGCACAAGCACCCATGACACGAGTTTTGCCTGTCAGCAGCTAAGGGTGCAGGGCCCCAGAACCCCCCTGCACCGATCTCCTCAACAGCTGGCAGGCATCGTGGCCTCAGCAGGGGCTAGCAGGCCTGCAGCTGTCACCCTGTCGCACCTTACTTAACACACACAGCGTCACCCATGTCACGAGTTTTGCTTGTCCACAGCTTGAGGTGCAGTTTTCCCAAGCCCCTGCACTTATCTCTTTGAAATGTGGCAGGCTTTGTGGCCTCCGCAGGGGTAGCAAGCCTGCAGTTTTGACCCCACTGTGGCTTAACACATACACGTGACATGAGTTTTGCTTTCAGGAGTTTGGGGTGCAGTTTCTCTGAACCCCTTAAATCTATCTTCTTGAAACTTGGCACGCTTTATGCCCTCAGAAGGGGCTACCATTTCTGCAAGTTTTTTTTTCCAAATCTGGCCAGAAATGACAAAGTTATAGGCTGTTTTGTCCTTCCCCATTATATCCTATGGGTGAAACGTTTCGACTTGCCTTGTTTCGTTTCAAGGCTTCTTCGACCATATCTATTTCACTTCGATTTTGCTGTTTCCACCTTGAAACAGGTCAAAACAGCATCAAAACAAAACTGGTGGCAAAATTTCACACAGCCCTAGTGAGCATCCAGGTGTTTTTTGAAGATATCCAGAGTAGGTGATCATACCACTTCTGGGGGGGGTCTATTCCAGACCCTGGACACTCGAGTTGTAAAGAAGTTTTTCCTTATGTCTAATCTAAAGTGGTCTTCTAGCAATTTATGACCATTAGTCCTAATCTTCCCCTGGGGAGCCCTGATGAACAGACATTCTCCCAGGCCCTCGTATGCGCCCTTTATATATTGATAGGCTGCCACCAAGTCCCCTCTGAGTCTTCTCTTCTCCTGGCTGAACAGACCCATGTCTCTCAGCTGCTCATTGTATGGCCTGCTCTCCATACCTCTAACCATATGCGTATCCCTCTTTTGGACCCTCTCTTAGGACATGGAACCATGCCATAGGAGACTTTCCAAAAGCCCCTGGAAATAATAAAGCCAAGAGGAGGGAATGAAGAACAGAGATGCAGCTATGTGCGCTACAGCAATCACCCAATCTGGGCTATATTACCTCAAGACAGCAAATGCAGTCCCAACACATGACCTGTATTGCAGGAAGCCATCAGTTCTCTTGTTCTCTGGGATTTGCAGAGCAAGCTATGCCCAAACAAAGCATCAGTGCATCCTTCAAGCAAGGTTATCCCAGGAAGCCTTTGGTCCCAAGCTTCCTGTTTTGCCATGCCTGCGGGAGGCTGCGTGCTGGCTGGAATGGTGGGTTCTCCTTCCACTGACCATGACTTTGAGGCAGACCGATCAAACTTCCCATCTGCAAAAAAGCAAAGATGAACACTTACCTCTCTACCAGGGTTTGCAAAGCGCAATGCAAGGTGACTTGCAGAGGAAGAAAGCTGGCTGTAGACCCCAGCTTGAAAACCTATGAATTAAATCGCTGCTAATAAATGTTCCAATGCTCTGAGTAAGACCATTCATCATTTTCACTTCCTTAGTATGGCCAAACAGGCACTAGAAACTGCAAAATAGAGACAGGCTCCACAGTCCCAGGTGCAAGGACAGAGCTGCAGGAAAAGACAGTAAACTTTTTGGGGCAGGTACTACTTCATATACATGAGACAAAAGAGGAACAGAAGCCCGGACAGCAGAAGTGACTCACGCATGGTCCCTGAGTTGGTCAGTGCCAAAACTAGGAAGAGAAGCCAGATGCCAGCTCCTTCAGCTGGACTAGCCCGTCTCCTGGGGCACCTTCCAAAATGGAGGGGACTGGGATTTCTAGGCAAGTAGAGGAGAGAATTGCAATTTGCTGGGGGAGGAGAATGCATGGCCTCTTGGGCAGGCCACATGCACACTGCATAAAGAAGCGAGAAGCAGAGCAAAAACCCCATTTCCCTTTTTTCTTTATTAACATTAAAATGACCAATAAGGATACAGAGAATTATGGAGCAGAGGTGCCAGGCAGGCAGTATGGAGTCCCTTTGTTCACATCAGAAGTCCACAAGTAGAACTTGATACTTAATGTGCCGGGAGCCTTCACTTCCTTGTCATGCCCTGTATATGTTTCCAGGACCAAAGGAGCCTGCTTGGGTGTGGGGGCTATGCTACTATGGTGTCCCAGCACAAACCAGTTAGACCTCTGTGCAAGACTGGATTAGATTAAAACTCCTGTTGCATGGGAATCAGGTTTGGGGATAAGGTTGTGCCCATGAAGTCTTTTGTGGGTCATTGGCAGGGAATTAGGACTTTTACACACCATATTTTCTTGCATACAGTGCAACTTGGAATAAGAGACATACCTTGTTTTTGAAAGGCAAAATGAGGAAAAAAGATCTTTCCTTGAGTAGCAGCAGCAAGGGAGAAAAGCCCACTCTTTGTTCTTTTTCCTGTGACTCATGAAGATTTTACTTTCATGTTTACCAGTAAGCAGAAGAAACAGCTCTTCCCATATATCCTTACATAGAATGCAATTTCCAGCAGCTTTTTTGTGGGGGGAAGGTGTGCGTTGTATGCAAGAAATACGGTATATGTTTTTTGTTGGTGGGGTGGGGGAAATAAATCCAAACATATCAAAATTGTGCCTCAGGAAACAATGTTTTATTTGTATCCAACTAGGAGAAGTCATCATGCCAAAGGGAAGCTGAAAATACAACACCACACTATGAAAAATAGTACGAAAAGTACAAAAATAAGGAATCCTATATATCGCAGTAAATTACTAAAAATAAATATTGTAAACACAAAAATAACAGAACATCTGAAATCTACAGTCAACCATTTCTGCTAGCAGCTGAACAGTCTTTGGCTTGAAATCATATCTCCTCTGCCCATACAGAACCTGCTTGGAAGTCACGATAAGACGCACTTCCTTTGTTTTGGACCAGCCATATTCCACTAAGCCAAGGGCTTTTTGTAGGGATTAGAGAAAGGATATGAAAATAACTTCTCTCTCTCTCAAACATACCATGACCCTTGCAATGAAGGATCACCTCATTTTCACACATTATCACTTCTTACCTCCCACCTAGCACTCTCTAGCCATTGTGCTCCAAGCGTTTTGCATAAAAGGGGAAACATTTTTATCCCCGTTTGACAGGTGGGGAAACTGAGGCACAGAAAGATGACAGGCTGAATGTTCAGGGGGGCTGAACACCTACAGTGTTCGGCACCTCTAAAATTATCATGTTTTTGGCTCCCATGCCTGCTGCCCTTCCCATTGAACTGTACTGCCTCAGATTTGAACCACGTCTTGGGTAGTTGCACAAACAATTTGCTGCAGTTTGCAGCAGGCCTGGCTCATCCTTCTTCAAGGACGTATTAGAACGTTCTCCTGCCGGCTCAATGTTTTATGTTTTTGTGAAAGGAAAATTCCCTCCTTGGTAACAGAACAGGCAAATCATTGCTAAGGCAGGAAAGATGGTTTTCTATTATCTGCAACATCTAACCACGCTGGGTTAGATCATCAAAGAGAACAAAGAAAATACATCTTAATGGAAACACAAAAATACCCCATCACAAATCCATTACAAAACAGTCTCATTGGAAGAAGAGACAGAGCAGTGCCCAGAGTCAACTAGATCAAAGCCCAGCTATACTACCTGATATGCCTTTCTTCATTTCCATATACTTGAGAGGAGCAGCCCTTTGTCATTCCTGGCTTAGAAGTGACAAACCCGCTTTGTTATTTCACATTATTCTCAGTTCAGAAACTGGCCAATGCCCCCTTGAAAGAACTGCATTCACAACCTGGCATGATGTACAGTGTCTTACTAGAGTGCTTCTAGCTCCTAAACAGGAAGTTATGCTAAGACAGCAACAGTTCCCCAAACTGATGTCCTATCTGCTGATACAAAGAAGTACATGCATTGTGCTCCTAAGGTGAAGAAGGGAAACAGTCTATGCAGACACAAGTATCCCATACACCCAAGCAGACTTGCAGGTATGTATGCAGTTTACATCTGGTTTGTATGATTCAAGTATAATTTTTATCCTAGGTGAACTGGGAATACATTGGCTTCTGATATGCATCTGAGGCAGAGCAGGAAGGTGAGTGTTAACGTAAGGATGCATCTTAACTTCGGTGTACCCAGTGCATCACCATGAAGCTCTGAGAGCTGGTACAGACAGTGTTTCTGAGAGAATTGTGCCTCAACCACAAACTCCAGATCCAAACTTTGCAAAGTTCAGAGCCAACCTTTGCTACAAGCCTGCTGCTTTTATGAGCAAGCTTACAAGCCCAGTTGGGTTTCTCTCCCATTTGGGAGAAAGTTCAGATATGGTTCGTACAGTGTGGTAGCCAACACTTCACCTAGTTCTGTTTTAAATGAGATTTTAAGAGTGCTTTCAGTACAAAATTTTGCTGCTTGTACATTTACAGGTTCCCATCATTTGCAATGAAAATGGACATCTGTATTAAAAAATAAGAACATGCTACTTATGAAATATTATTTCAAAAGAGATACAACTGGATAATCCTTTGAGTTTAAAAAAATATTTCAGTACACAAATATTAATTTTACTAGTAAAAGAATGACACGCAACTGCTTGGTATTAGATTAAATGGTCTTTGTTGCATTTTTTTAAAAGTTGCTTTTTTTTTTTTAATTTAAATTTTCCTAAAAACTGACTACACTTGATTCTATACACCTTGATTTTCATTTTTCTTTCTGCTACACTGTCATCTTGAGGCTTATAAAAAATAAGCATTTTTAAATGCTGAAAGAGCAATGTGGTGTGCTTTAAAATTGTGCTTCTGAAAATTATAAACTGCACAGAAGAGATTATTTTGATAATGAAGTTACCTCTAGCAGTATAAAAATATACAACCCCCCCCAAAAAACAAAACAAAACAACACAACCCCCCCCCCCCCACATCCTCCCAGCTGAAAGTCAGGTGAAGGTTATCGTTTGTACCTCACTGATCACATGATAGTTTACATTAAACAGTTACAGAAAATAGTCATTCCCACCCCTTCAGCTCCCCCATATAAATTTGCTGGTTTGGGTAAAAGAAATGGCAAATTTAGTTCCTTCACAGAGCCTTTTGTCAGTAAAATCATTATCTGTTCCTCATTGTAAAAGCAGATGTGAGGGTGTGGGTTAGCTTGCAGTTAGCTCTGGGGCTGCCAATTTGGAAAGGAGAGGGCTGTTGAAATTGTAGGGATTAATTAGCAAATATAATCCATCTTAAATTATGCTTATTTTCTCCCTAATGCCCCCCACCTCCTGCATACACATATGCAGACACACCTAGGTTCTTACCAGCAAGCATGTGCATACTTGTATTGACTGCAAAGGACTACACACATGCTTGAAGTTATGCAGAAGTGAGGCTGAAGCTACTGCGAAACAGGCCCAAAACCCTGATTCCTTGAAGTCAATGGTAAAATGCCAGCTGAGGTCAATGGGCATTTTAGCAGCTGACTTCAGCATGAGCAGGATAAAGCCCCTGGTGACTTCAGTGAGGGCGAGTGCCACAAGCACCCAGCACTCATGCGGGCAAACAACTGATAGAGTCAGAGACTCCAGTATCCAGTCCCTTTGTCCCAGCCTCTCCATTCACATTTCCATTTCCCCCCGGGGATACTGGACCTGAAATGACTGAACTGCTGGTTGTCCTCAGAAATCTCAGTCTCATTTTTCAATCTGCCCCAAGAAAATCATATTCAATTAAAAAAAAAAAAAGTTCTCTGTACCGTTTTCTTAAACTGCATTAAAATATTAAATCAGCAACTACTCAACATAATTCCCCTTCCATGACTATATACATGAACAGACATAAGACCTCTCCAAACATAAATACAGCATATAAATCCAGACGTGACTTATTTCAGAGCTACTTCACAGACAAAAAACAATTAAACTCACCACACAGATTGAAGACACACTGTTGAAACATTTGTGGAAGAGACACCGTTTACTTTGGTGATGGTTTGTTTTTTCTATTACCATATGCACAACTAGCGGGCATCAGTGGCCTCTGATGGGGTGAACACAGACAGGCACACGTTCCAACTACTACATTTAAAAGTTGGGGAGGGAAGAGAAGCTGGGAAGCGGGACTATACCCTGAGTCCCCAAGTATTTCCAGGCACATGCTCTGCTAGTCGAGTCAAAGTGGCACCTTTAACGCGATTCCAGCAGGTACTTTAATAGTACACACCACTCTGGACAGATTCCAGCAGGTACTTTAATAGTACACACCACTCTGGACAGATACTTTGTATCCTGCAGTTGCGGATTTGGACATCTGCACCCTGTGCTTTTAAGAGTTACCATGACTTTCATGGAAATAACAACAGCCTTGATCAGGGTAAAAGACTAGTGGAGGTCTTTAGCCCAATCTTAAAGAGGTTTGCTTTCTAGAGTGCTGACACTAAGTCTTGGACATATGTAAATAGATACCAGGAACTGTAAAGTGACAATGCAGTGTCTTCATTACTCTAGCATTATCCTTCTATGGTTGTGGAGCAAACGAGATTGGGGTTGGGAGGAGGAAGCTTAGTATTTTAAATAGGCTGCAGGTGGAACAGAAGGGGTTTGGACTGGGGATGGAGGTACACAGCCAAATGACACTGTTAGCTTTACTTGATAGGTAGCTTTATGGCATGCAGTAGAACTCCTAAGACAATCACTTTGTACAGAACACACAGCATCTCAGCTCTCGGTGGTGGACTCTCATGAGAACAAGTAAAGCTAAGAGTCTGCTCTCATCAGGGAGGAGGAATGGGGTTGGGGAGTGGGTCCATTGTGTTGTTTGGTTGCAAAACCCAAGCCGCCGCCTCTTATCGCTGCCCAGCCTCCCGGATCCGGCACGCCACTGCTGTGATGAGCGCCGCACCTTTACCGCTGCCATCTTCTGACTGGAGGAAGGTCACTTCGCACTTCGGGGACAGCTGCTTCACTGTTTCATGCATGATGGAGGCGAAGCTGCAGTGGGTGAAGGAAGAAGGAG